GCAAATAAATCTGGAATCACGTGATTTAAACAAAACTTTCATATTAAGAACTGTAATTTTGTATGTAATTATTACATGGGATTGCTCAGATCTTTAAAGTATTTCATTTTATATAAAAACTACAAAACTAAGGAATTCAAAAATATTTGTAATATCGTTCCACAATACTATGACATGCACTTGAGCATACATTAAGAATCATCAATCAAAATAAATAAGAGATTATGGGCATATTCCTACTAATGAATAGAGTAATTTTAAAACTAGGTATTAAAAGAAGCATGTAGTCAAATATTTTATTAAAAAAGGGAAATAAACTTTAACGTTTTCCTTCAAAAAACAACTACTTCTTTGGCTAATTCCGCAGCAGACATTGAATTATATCCAAAGAAAACAACAAAGTTAAAAAAATCATATTTCAATATTCAAACTTTGTTCTTGCTTACCATAGATAACGTTATTTTTGGACCGGTTTTGTCCTTATTAGGACTCATCAGCAAGAAATAGACATTCTCGATTTCGGTCACTAAAGGAATCTGAAAAGGCGGTAAATTCACCCGCTTACATAGACGGAGGTTGTGAGAGAATAAGTAGTAACAAAGCTTCGATTTTTCCAAGTGCGAAGGGTTTTACTTTTTTATCTTGTGTAATAAATACTACAGTAACTATATGTTAATATTGGGTTATTAAACATAAAACATTTATATTACATTAGAAAATGGCACTAATAAATTATAAATAAAAAAAAGCTATTTAATAAAAGTTAATGAGGAACAAAAAATACAAAGAGTTTTTTAAATTTTCATTGGGGTTTGAACAATGTCTTTAATGTTTTTATTAATCTTGATATGTGATTTTCCTATAAGGGTAGATACTCTTTAGATAATTATAATTATTGATTTCTCGAAACAAGTTTTTATTTTAAACTAATTGAAAATGAAAATTTTTTAGCAGGTAATTGATTAAGTGATTAAAAATACTTTTTTTTAAAGATAATTCGACAGTTTTACACTAGTACTTACAGCCGAAACTGTTTTATATTACCCTATTTTGTCCTAAAAAATAATTTTCAATCATTTTTATTAGCTGTTGCGCTAGAAAGTGTATCTTGGCCAGCAGAATATTTTATCATTTTTTTTGCAATATAAACAATGTTTTCTGAAATATCTAACAACTTAATTACATTCTGTATAATACAATACAATAATTTAACTTTTCCATCCTGGCTCCAGGAAAAAGGTATGGAACACAATGCCATTGAATAGAGAGAAATAAAATAATACGAATGTGTGTGGACCGCAACAGCCCATGCTTGCCATCGAAAGGGTATGGTAAAATCAATTACTATCTTTATCGCTCTCACATCCAAATACAATTAAGCGTCTCATCTTTATTACGCCTGATGCGTCGGCTTAAGATACTGTACATTTTTTGACTATATTTAAATAAATAAATAATGTTTATTGAGCAACTATAAATACATTAGTGTCTCAAAATGAATGAATTCGGCTGAGCCGTTTTTCAATTGATGCTCATTATAACAGAAAAAATGTTTACAAAATAATTATTTTAAATTAAATCATTGTCTTGAAATAAGAACTTGCCTAATAGTCTTAACAAAATGATTAAAATTCAAATTATTTAGTTCTGAATTTAACAATAATGGTGCTACGTATCTAAAACAACCTTGGAATTTTGAAGTTCTATGCATTGGGGTTGTAAAAGTGTTCACTCTTAAGTTTACATTGTGTAAAGTTGATCTTTTTAGTAAGATATCGTGGAATTTTAAACATTAAAAAAAGATATTTTACGCTTTCCTAAATTTTATATTTATTTAACCTGCGAATGTACGGAGAAACATGATTTCTATAAGGAATATTACAAGTACATCTTATACAAGAATTTTGAATCTTCTGAAGTTTCTCTAAGTTATATTTAGTAAGAGTAGTAATAAACTATAAGCACTGTTGTTGTACTTTTTAGTGTCATTTGTAAAATGTTGATGGGGTCCTAAAGAATACAATAGCCATTAAGATTCTTAATGTCATGGTACAGAAGTAATCGTAGTCTATATGAATGGAAATTTTTTACAGATAAAGGATTATTGTTCCATCCATACCTAGCCCTAGAAATAAAATGTAATTGCATCATACAATTAAACTAATACTATTCCATATACTGCAGAAAAATAGCTCTAAGTGATATGTACTAAGTTTATATATTAACAGTTTACATATTTGTCATATAAACCTATTACAAACTTTATAAAACAAAGCCTAGAACACCACTATTCTTCTTCGGTCACTGAATAACATAACTGCTGTCAATGGTTTTAAGTTTCTTTATACATTCTGTTGCAGCTTATATTTCAGACATCCATATAGTCTCCGTTTTTTGAGACAAAGGCATTTTCCATTCAAATCTAAAAAGATTTCGAGAATTTAGTAAATAGAACAGTTTCTCAAATTTCCTTATACAATTAATAGTAATGTTACTTAGTATTTGTAATTTCTAAATTCGTTTAAGTGTACAAACCTTCATGTCTTTCTCCAATCCATATGGGGCACTCTTAATTTGCTACCCAAACGTAAACCTTCTGTTTGTTAAATATAATGCAACAATTTTATATAATTAAAATCAATAATTTCGCCATTAGTTTCGATAATTTTAGTAAGGTTATCCCAGTTATTCCAAGCCAACTTAAGTATGTGACATGCATCTAAAATTATAAAAAAATGTACTTTTATCTATGGTGAATGCAAGAAATATGGAGTCACAGTGTCAATATCGAAGTTGTATAGGTTTACACCTAATGTTATCCATCAAATGATAATTAGGTGATGATAACTCCATATTCATGCAATTTTAGAAGAGCCTATAACGCCACATTTCTTCTTTCATTACCATCTAAACCGTTAATAAAAAATAACCAACTGGCAACATCTATAATTCCTCATTAGATTCTGAATTAATAATATTCGTTCAAGCTGAAGGTTGTAAATTTCTAAAAATAATAGGGATAATTAACAATTTTTTATCACTTTCTTAAAAAGTATAAAAAGAAACAAATTGATAATTTTATGTATATATTTACCTCATAACACTAATGTTATAAAAATCTTTAATTTTAGGCATATTTATGGAAGGTATTGCATTATTTTTTTATTGTATCTATTCTATTATTGTACTATGATATTTCGTTTTCTAGAAAATGAAACTGTGGTGAAGAATACGGTTCTGGTAGAAATGATGTCTTACTTGTGGAATGTAATGTTTTCTGAATCCTCGTTGTTTAAACAACCAAAAACAAAGCAAGTCTTTCCCATTTTATTAATTGTCTATAGTAAAAACTTCTAAAATTCTTTTAAATTCACTAAAATAGCGAATTTCGAAAGAAACCAAGAATAGTTGACATAAATGACACTTCTGTCAAAACACTACAACAACTGCGCATGTGCGTTGTACGCTTAAATTGCCAACATGGCGGCCTACATGGTGTGATTATTTTGAAACACCGGAGAAAACGGCCTTTTCGTATCTCCTCTATCCAAATCTGTGGTTTAGTCGTTTTAACCTGTCAGATTAAAACAAGAAAACCGACAATTCCGAAGCAGAAGCGGATGATTAAAACGCACCTATTAAAAATATTGCGCCAAGATGTAGGCAACACGTAATAAGGCATCACAATGGCGGAGTTTTCAATCTCCTTTCAAAAGGCACTCAAAAAGCTGCGCAGTGCGACCATTCTCCCTATAGTAATCGAAAATCTGAATTTATTGTTACACTATCACGGGGCATAGGGGACATAAAATGTTCAACTTTAACAATTATTTCTTCAGCCTCCAGTACTAATAAAATAAATATATCTTAACCTAAATATAGGCCAAGTCTCCATAAAATAATCACTCTGTAAGCAGCGCAAGGAGCGTTTCAATTAAAATACCGTTGTAGTAGAAAAGACAATATATACTCTGTCTCTGTCATACTAATAAAAGTAACGCCAGTGTTTTCTTCCTTCGAATGTACCTCGACTTTCATCTCATGCGTTCCATCTCCATCCGAATAAACAAAAAATTAAACTGCATATCGTCGGCCTAAGATGCAAATGGCTTAACTCTTAAAATATAAATTTTTCAGGAGAGACATAGAACCTTTCAGATCTAACCTTAATGTAAAGGAGTTAAGCAAAATGCAACATGTAATTTTTGGCGCGAATATTGAAAATAGGCATAGGAAGCGATTTCGAATCGACAGTACAGATCTTTAACTAACGGATAGCCATTAAAACGTATTTTCAGTAAAAAGTGGAGTTAGGCCATTTACATTTTAGGCCGACGATATCGGTATAGGTTTAAAAATAGGCGGGGTCGAACGCGAACGTGTTAGGTCAAGTTGCAGATGCTGTGCTACCGAATAAGCAGTTGGTTGTATTAAATACAGGCGCATTGGAGATAGGTTTTTGGGATGGCGTCTCTATATTTACATTGGCTGATTTCCAGGAGAAGCAGCTTCGGTGGCTGAAACAAAGTCGCGAGTTTTATGATGATGAAGAGTGACTCAAACCAGTTATGCTTCGATAGTCAATGAGACAAGACGTCAATTTTCTGCTAGAGTCACATAAATAAAAATATTCCAGTTTTATTAAAAATAAACTAGAACATTATTTTTAATAGTGACTCAAGTCAAATTAGGACATTATTGTTGAAAATGTCATTATCAATTGGTGTGAAATATACTTTTCTGTACGATCGTCATGACTCGAAAGAGGGATGAAAATATATTTTTAGGTTTTTTTTTTAACAGTAAACAAACTTTCAAATGGATATTTGTGAATTTTGTCACTATTCTAATGTAGTGTATCAACGATATATATGTAGGTACCTATATGTCTAGGATTAGTACTTACTATTGGAAAGTTAAAGGTTAAATTAAGATTAACAAAAGAACGAAAATATAGTCAATAAAAGGCAAAATAAGATTTATGTTTTTTTATTTGATTTCAAATATTTATTTTACAATATACAAAATATGGATATCATACATAAAACGTGGATTACAATTACAAGTAAAGTTGAAAGATAGAAGCAAAGAAATTATAACATTGACAATTATTAGGTATTAAACATACGTTTTTACTTTAATTATGTAGATTTTGTAAAAGAAACAAAAATTGAAACATGAAACTTCTATAAATCCACATTTTTTAACAAAATATTTTACATATAGTTCATATAATTTAAAAATGTTAACTTTTATATAACGATCACTATTACGCTTTTGCGGTTTGAAATTTTAGCTGCGAGATGACATTTTCCACGATCTGTTGCCGTTTGTCGACTTTTCTGTTCTAAAGCGGAAAACATGTCGCTCGCCTAATAATTTATTTAAGTACCAATAAAAGTAACATAAATTCCAAACATTCGAGATTACAAAAGGCGGGTTTCTGCAGTTAAATTTAAACAATCTAAGTTATTTTAACTGGAATTATATTTTAAGAAAAAGGGTACCGTCATCGTAGATAACGTTTTACAAATATATACATATGTATTTCGTTCAAAAGGTTCTATTACCCCTTTCGACCACTTTTTCTTAAACTACAATGATATTGATACTAAAATAACTATTTTATTGACAAACAGTTTTTATTTTATATGTTCAAATGTTTAACAATAATTTACCTTTGGCTGTTTAATACATATTCTTATCAATAACATGCTTTATAAAAAACTAATATTAACGATAACAAGAAAATACGTAGCTACACAAAAATAATGTACCTATCTAAAACAAACAGAATTAAAATTAGATTGTCCAAATTTCATTTGGTAATACTTAGGTAAGTAAGGTTTTTTGGGATCTGAAATTGAGATTGCAGTGCTATCTGTACCTGAAACTGGAACTACTCAAAACCATGTTTTTATTTGCTTATATTTGCTTTTATTTTTTCTTATATTGTAGGTACTTTTTAAAGGGAAAAATGTTGTCATTCAAAACATAAAACACCACCTAATCACATGGAAAACAAAAATTTTTTGTACAGTGCACTCTGCTAATTGTGACGGACGGCTAAGTGTGACATATTGCGATTGTTCTATGGATCGGTTACATATCGAGGGTCCGGCAATGCCGCCCTTCAACCTTACCGGCTGCGCATTTACTGTGAAATTTAGCCGCCATCGGGTGCACCGCCGAAGGTCGTATGCAAATCAGGTAAATATAATAATTTCAATAATTCAAGTTAAAAGTGTTTCAAATTGACTTTGTGTAAAATAGTAGTAGTTGGAATTTAATTATTTTCATTGTTATGGAATACAAAGATGACAATGTTAATATTTTATACTGCTTAACCTCAACTCTAACCAGACCAGTGTTTTCGTAGGTGTCACAAAAACACTGCACAATTGTGATTTTTTACGGTGTTTATTTGTGACATTATCAAACTTTTGTTTTCAGTGAGCTATTTATCATCGATCTTTTTTTTTTTTCATAATTTCACAATGAATAACCAAAGGCAACGCCCAAAAAGCAAATCTTACAATAATAGTGATCTAAATAATGCAATATAGCAGCAGTTAACAATAGCGAGCTGTCTTATAAAAAAGCTTCACAATTATATCATATTTCGCGAAGCACGTTGATTGCTAGATGCAAAAGATGGAAAAACAGGCCAGCTTCAAAAAGAGATCGTCCTGGTATAGTGGCAGATCTTCCTCAAGCAACAGAAGCAGAATTAGCTCAACATTAGAGACAATGAATAATTGGGGATTTGGACTCTCTCAAAAGGAATTGTTAAATACTGTAGGTGTTTTGGTAAACCAAAACAATATAAAAACAATTTTTGTAAAAGGAGTACCAAAAAAAGACTGGTTTATTGGGTTTTGCAAGAGACATCACTTATCATGCAAGAAACCTATTAAGAGGTAAAGCATTAGTAGGGAACAAACTACTGCTGAAGTTATAAATGGATTTTTTGACCTGTATGAAGAAACTGTTAAGGATTTAAAATTGCTTGACGGCCCACAATTAATTTTTAATCTGAACGAAACATTCCTATGCAGTGATCCTTCAAACATCAAACTGGTTGCCCCAAGAAAAAAGCCAGTATTTAGACATACGCATGGCACGGGAAGAAGCAATACTTCAATAATATTTTGAGTATCAACTTGTGCTGACAAATTTCCACCATTTATATTGTACAAGACCAAAAATATCTGGGACTCATGAATGCCAGAAGATGCATTTCCAAACACCGGGTACACCACATGGTTGGATGACAGAAAATGCATTTTATTCCTGGTTCAAGAATCATTTTTTGAAATACTGCCCAAAAGAACGCCCCCTCTTGCTCTTATTTTATGGGCATTCATCGCATCTATCCATTGATTTTATATGTATTGCAGCCGCTCGACGCAGTACCATTCGGAGCTTTTAAGAAAAAGTGGGCTAAAAAAGTATCAGAATGGCAAAGAGCACATTATGATATAGCAATGAGCAAGGCAAAATTTTCTATTCTAGTAGGAAAAGTCTGGAGCAGCTTGTCAGAATCTTTAATAAAAAAATCTTTTCAAGTCACTGACCTTTACAACGAGTCTATGCCCAACAAAAGTCCTATTAACCGGAAAGCGTTTAAGACTTCCAACTTTGTGTCAACTGATGCCATATCAGATCAGTCCAGATATAAAGAATCTCAGCAGCAAGAGAAGATTAATGAAACAAGTGCCACGGAACCCGCTCGTGCGTCCACATCCACAGATACAACTGAATCTAATAAGCAGAGTGAAGAAAAACGTATTTTTTTTCAAGAACTCTTGTTAAAAAAAATAGTAAGGTCAACTAACGTACCAATAAAAAAGAAAAAAGTTTTAAACAGTAACTACGCAGATTTTATCACCAGAGACGATTTATCTAAAGCAACTTAAGGAATCGGTGGCTACTAGAAAACAGAAAACAGTTTTAAAACGCAAAAAAATAGATTGATAGATTGATAGAAAGCGAAAGCAGTGATTCCGAATTGGAGTATGAGACAACATAGGGATGGCATTGACGAATATGACGGTATAAGTAGTTTGAATGAAGAATGTAGAAGCTGAAAAAGAAAATGAGAGTTATCAGTTTGACCATTCTGTAAAGGCCGGTTCATGAATTATAGCCACGTATATGTAGGAAAAGTTTTAGAAGTTAAGTCAGATGATACCGTCAAGGTAACATTTCTAAGATAGGAAGGTGAATATTTTATTTGACCAAATGTTCCACATCTCGATACTATCAGTACAGAGGATGCACTGCAAATTATACCTACTCCTATCGAAGAACGGCGCAGTAAGTTATTTTTATGTGTACAATTTAATGGCCTTGCTGTTCAATAATATTATTTATAATTTTTACTTTTCATTATTTTTATATTTTCTTATAACTCTTCCATGAAAACAAAGGTAAATTTTCGTTTTAGTTCATTCCAGTGTACCTTATGTAGCCATTTTATTTTTATATAAGTTCAAAATCGTTCAAATGTTTAAAGAAATATGTGTTTATTTATTGTACCTCGGAGCCAGACTATGTTAAGTCCAAATTGGCCAAATTTTAGGTAATAATGTTAAGTGACTTGAAATTTTGCGACGCATCGTCTGGTATTTTGCATTTTGACGTATATTTTAAAATAAGAAAACTAGCCCATTTTTAGCTACCTACGTCCATAGTCCACGGTCTAAAATGAATATTTTAAAAATGCTCTCCTGGAAAACTAAGTTTTATTTGTGACACGATAAAAAAATATTCGTTTTATTGCGACTTCTAATAAATCACTATTAAAATAAATCGTCATAATACATCCTAATACAAAATTTAGTCGACTGTTACAATTATAACCCAAAGGTACATTTGTGGTTTAATTGTGACACCCCATGAAGCTTTAAAAAAAAATAAATCAACAATGAAAATAATCAAAATAATTCACACGTACAACATATTTGTCATTTGACCATAGTACTCCAGTCCATAATCGCTACAAAAAAGTGTTAGTCAATAAAATCTGTAAGTAGGGACGAAAAGTATGTCACAATTTGCTGACTGCACTGTACAGAGTATAACATTGTTTCTTTTCTGCTCCCAATAAACTTAGTTTTCAGATTCGAATTTAAATGAAGATGTCTTGTTAAATTTTACAAAAATTCTGAATTCTACGGCGGTAATAATTTAAAATGGACTTGTTGACAGCTACGACCTTCTTCCTTGGACGTGTCCATTTCGACTAAGAGCAGGGGGGTGAGAAGGAATGGAGAAGACATCCCGTGATATAAAAACATCTCTTTCGCCATATTAGCAACCGCTCGAAGTGGCTCTGCGGTGACGCATCTACCACGCATTCAGAAGGTCCAGGTTTGAGACCAACTGCCGCCTGACCTGCTATAAGTTTTGAATTTTTCAGGCTTGCTCATAGCAACAGGCAAATGCTGGATCAGTAACATCCTCTCAGATACCTACTAGCATTCCTTCCACCCCACTCATCTAGACCCGATCCCTGATCCTTTCAGTGCTGCTGAAAAATTTAGGAAAGCCTATAGTATACCGCTCACTACACATTTTTATGTGTATAAGTTATAGTGTCTCCTTCAAACAGCCTCTGATATTGTTGATCACGTACCTACTGAGTTTTTGTGGAATTTGGACGTAGACTTTTGATTTAGAAAATCCTCATAAAAATTAATGGGTCCAAATTCCTGCAAATTTGAATTGAATTTAGGCGAAAAATTCGCAACGAAATTCGAGCAATTTCGCAAGAACTCATTAGGCGTGTGATCATAAATGTCAGAGGTCGTTTGAAGATGGCGCGCGTGGGAGGGCAGCAAATAAAGTTCTGCAGTTTGTATTTAATTTAAAAAATAAAAAATATTCAACAAACCTAAAACTAATGAATCATTATTCTTTCATATCATAAAAACCTTTTCGGATACCTTGACGATTAACCTGTATGAATTTATAGGCCTTTCCATCTTCTTGACTCGAAAAGTATTCGACTTTTCGATGTTCCATATTATTTTGTTATTTTTATATATTTAGTAGCTTCAGATTATATTTTTACACTCTAGAATAACGAGGATTACCCACTGTAATGTACATTTGTGTAGAATATGGCAACACGTTGCGGTAGAACAGTCACGGTACGCTGAAATTCTACCGGTCGCTACCGTACGTTTTTTAAATCAATTGCCAGGAATACAAATACTTTATGTTACGAACTTTGTATTATCCCGTCTTTTGTAGTTATTTAAAAAAACATCTTCATTAACTTCAATTTGCATTTATTTTTTCACTGGCTTCCTAAACCTGCGTCGGACTATGTCTAGGGGTTTTGGAACCGGGCTCGCCCCAGTGTTGGGCAGTGTACTGAACATAACCTGGATCACCAGGAGTACTTGGTGGTCTCAATTCTTCTGGTAAGTGGTCACTTCTTTTTAAAATTAGTTTTGGATTTACTAGATCAGATTTTCCATACTGGCCTAAAATGTTGGGAATAAAAAAAAGTTTTACTTAAATTCTGTAGTTTGCGATGGTTGTTCTGCGAGTTTAAATTGTTTTTTAAATTGATAAGGTAAATATTTTGGAAAAATATGAGGGAGCAAAGTTTCTAAGATTTTTGATATCAAAAAGGTTTGTTTCACGCATTGGTTGATTGAGCTTTATATAGAATGTTAGAATGGGCAGAGAGGAAACACGACTTCTTCCAAGGGTAAAGGTGACTAATGGTATTAGAAATCGGATTGTTTAAAAGCGAAAGATAGTAGTTGGTAACATTATTTTTCTATTCATATACGGTAATAATATTAAATACCTAGCACTTATAACTTGACTTCAGATGTAAATCTCTTTAGAACATTTTAAATATGTGTAATCATTGAAGTTTTAGATGGGTGACCTGTTTTTTACCCTTTCAGGTATCCTTCTGCTCCCTCTCGAGGAGTTCCGGCAGATTCACCTAATCAGGCTTGGGTCCAGGGCTCCCCTCAATCAGGCTTGAGGTTCCCTTCTTTGGGTTCGCATAGTTACACTGAAGCGCAGATGGTTTATTGTGCCACCATTTGGTTGCCCTACTCCTTCCCATGCATTCAGCATATGCATTCTTCCATTCATTTTACGCTTGGTCCAAGTGGGCTCCGAGCTATACGAATTTAGTCACCCATTTAAGCCGTAACTGGGAACTCATTGCTTACCATAAGGTTAGCGTTTAACCGTGAATGGGTATGGCAGTAGGATGTCAAAAGAGTGGCACCGAGCCCACGGGTATTCACATAGCAGCAAAAGAAATCACCAGAAAAAATAACTGAAAGAAACATGGTCATCTATCTATACGGATAACTGACAAGCACTACTCACTCTAAACAGACCACCAAATATATTCAGGGTTAGTAATTATAATGTCACGAAGCTTTGGCCGAAGTATCAACAATGTGGTCATCTTCAGATGGATCAAAGGTCAGTCCACATCGAAAGGTAACCATCTTGCTGATTCACTACTTAATAAGGCAGCAAATCTAATACTTTTTTTACCTGGCCCTTCTATTGGACTGACAACATCGGTAGTGTCAGACCTAATTATAAAACATTCCCTTGTGAAATTCAAGGAAAAATGGGATGGAACAAGAAACGGCAGAGTGGACAGGGAGCTTTTAAGTTATCCTAACAACAATACAGCAAACAAATACTTGAGTATGACCCATTAGAATTTGCGCCAGATCACAGGCATTCTGATTGGTCATTGCCAAGCATGGAAGCATCTCCATATCATGAGGCTATCAGAATCCGCACTCTGCAGGGGAAACGAATAAGATTAAACCATCGAGCATATCCTCTATGATTGGCCAACGCTCATTTATTAGAAGATTTATGTTCGGCGAGTATCGGCTAACACCGGCCGATATAAGAGAAGCATCTCTTGGCGACGTTGTATACTACATTGAATCTGTAGGCTGGCTCAGGAGCTAGGACATGTACCTATCATTTTAATAGGATGCACAATTATTGGCCTAGTGAGACCTAAGTGCCGTGGAATAACCCACCCTCCACACCTTACAGATACACAATAAGCCTTGAAAGAGGCTGAAGTGTCGCCATGCCTGAGCACTTTGTATGCTGGAGATGGACTAGGGTTATACAGGATTGGGCACAATTGGCGGAATACCAGACTTCTGACTTTATTGAACAAGTAATAAAAAATATCTAAGGCAAGTCGGTTTTGTTTTTTATACCTGTATTTTCTTTTATATACTGTTACTGGTTTTTGGTATCACAATTTATTTCAATTGAACTTTAACAATAACAATGCAACTGATAACACTAACATGTAACGTCTATCATAAAACTGCCAAACTGACGTCAGGATCATCCTTATATAGCTTGCTTGACCTTTCTCGAACCTTCTCGAACTGTCTAGAATATTATTGACAAGTAATGACATTTCTGGACTATTCTATCTTCTTTTACTTGTACTTTTACTTATGACGACCGCAGCACACTGTAGGGCGATGAGTAGCATTCCACTTCTTTTTCTATTCGTACGTAACAATACGTTTGTTTTCATAACGTCATGACCATTTAAGACATGACGTTATCAGTAGTTTTTCAATATTTAATAGTACCAATTAAAAGAGTACATTTTTTCGAGAATGGATATCAAATTTTGTGGTAAGTTATATATTTTCGAGAAAAATGTTTATAAAACGTTATGTAGCATTCGTAAGAGCGACTAAAACTTTTTTTCTCGAAAATATTGTTATGTAACAAAAAACACAAAATTTCTATCAAATATATGTGTTGTCATTTGAAAAAAGTAGTGTTGACATCATTTCTCAAATAGTGACATCATAAAAAAATATACGTAAAGATGCGCATCTAAAAACAAAATCTACCTGTCTGAGCATTTTTGTGTTACTTGTCCGATAAAAGTTAGATGTCTGATTATGCCCATCCCTGTACAAATGGGGTAGGGGTACGAAGGAAAGAAAAAGAAAGGGTACCTATATGATGACTGCATATTATGGATTCATTAGCAGTTCCTCGATATCATTGAATTCACTAATTAAAATGAGTGTGTTGTGTTAAAAAGTGAATCATTTTGTGTTCAGTGTGAATTGTTAGAATTTCTAAAAGTGACGTACCTACCTTTCCTGATATTACTCCATATAGGAGAATGGGGTTCCATTTGAGGAGGCAGTTCAACGTCATCCGCTTCTGTGCTTCCTTCGTCTGTTACGTCATGACCGTATATTCCAAATCTTCTAAAAGAATCGTCTGTCTGATCTCTCATTCTTTGATAGCCTGAAAATTTTAAATATTGATAATTATGTTTTATTTATTTAACCTACTACGGTTAAATACCGGTAATGACGAGAACGCTATGATTTAGATTCTGGATCTGTACTGTATCCCCTCCAAAAGATTACATACCTTTACTATATTTTGTAATAATTACTATAATATCTTTTACAAGTTAATGCTTCTCAAGACCAACGCGAATGTTAGCAACAGGCGCGGAATTTCCAAGTTGGTCTGAGGGATGCTTTATGCTCACCCTTTGAGTTAATAAGGCACTGACATCGAAGCACGGAATAACAATCTTCTGTTGGTGCTATAGATTATGAAAATTTTATCAAAAAATAACATCACCAAGGCTTCAGGTCCAGATAATGACTAGCTTAACATGGAGTGTCGTTTAGAAAACAGAGTCGAAAGAGCATACATTGCTTATGACTAATGCCGCCAAACCGTGAGGCGCACCTGGGGTTCCTCCCATGAAAACCACACTGACAAGAGTCATGGAAGTCATTCTTAGTCTCACTCCGCTTGATATTTACATCAAGGAGATTGCTCTGATAACAATAACACGCCTTTGCACGGTTGAAATAGAACTTGATGTAGGATCTGGTAAGGCGAGATGTCGCTTTTGGCAGGAGGCGCTCGATACGCTACCACTGCTTCAAGGGAACGTGGACTCTATCTTTTCAAGATATATCTCCCTTAAGCCATATAAAGTTATAACAAAACAAATAGAAGAGTCGGAAGTGGTAGGTACGATTCTTATTTACACCGACGGTTCTAAAACAAAAAAAGGCTCAGGATGTGGAATATACTCCAGATCCTTAAACCTAAACATAAAATGGGTTGTAAGCAATAATGCCAGTGTAGCTCAAACAGAGCTCACGAGGATTCTCATAGCAGCAAAATAAATCATCAGAAACAATATCACTAGCCGGAACATTCTCATCTATATATATATATATAGCAGATAAGCACTACTTACCCTGAACAGACCACGGTTTTACTCAGAGTTAGTACTATAATGTCACGAAACTTTGGCGGAAGTATCTATGAACAATGTGATCACCTTAAGATGGATCAAAGGGCACGCCATGTCATATTGAAAGGTAACCGCCTTGCTGATTCACTGGTAAAGAAGGCAGCCAACCAAATACTTTTTGGACCTGGTCCTTCTATTGGCCTGACAAAATCGGTAGTGATAGACCTAATTAAAAAAAGGATACTACAGAGTTGACAGGGAGCCCTTAAGTTATCCTGACAACACTACAGCAAATAAGTACGTGAATATGATTAGACAGAATCTGCGCCTGGTCACAGGCATTTTGACTGGTCATTGCCAAGAATTAAAGCATCTCTATATCATGGGGCTGTCAGAATCCGCACTCTACAAGAGGTGCAAACAAGACGATATGACCGTCGAGCATATCCTCTATGATTTCCCGACGCTCTCATTTATTAGAAGATTTGTGTTCGGCAAGTATCGGCTAACACCGGCTGATATAAGAGAAGCACCTCTTTATGACGTTTTCTGTAGCCTGGCTCACGAGCTAGGGGGTGCCTACCATCTTAGTGAGGCCTAACTGCCATGAGGTATCTATATCACAGATACAGATGGAGTGTGGAGATTATCTAAAGAATCATCATTATTACTCCTATTACGAACAACCTAATTTTTCCTTTTAGCCTTATGCTTATCTTTGCAGTTCGCCAAATATTTTCCAGGAATCAGGATATGTAAATCTTCTTATCTTAATGACGACTTGATATTATCACAAACTGGAAGCTCAAAAACATTACCGAGCTCTTTTAACGTCTCCAAATATCAATAATCCGCACACCCCAACCACTATCCTGTGCTTATAAACAATCACCAGGCCATGGAAATAAACAGGTTTGTTGGAGCTTCAAATTATTCTTCTTTTTAAATGACAGTTTTGATTTCATTTAACGGTGTCTGTAATCAGTCACGGCTTACAGTAGAAACATTTTTTTTTTTTGATCACACGTTCCATTAAGTGTGACATTACATGCTTAAAATAAGTTTTTTGTGGTTTACATCTACAGATACAGCAACGCTTTTTATTGATGAATAAGGCATTTAAATTAAACAAATAAAATACGCACCATTATTTACATGTGACGTTTGCATCTCCATTACAGTTGCCCCGTTCCTTCCATTCCTATCAGTTTTGGAGGCCACTTTCTCAGTTTTCTTGGGAACGTATTCCATTTCTTCTGGCGCTGAAGCTTTCCTATCTGATTTTTTCTTTTCTACCTCGTATACTTGTTTCGTGATAGTTTTGGAGTCAGGTGGGGTTTTCTTTTGTTGAGATGTGGCTTGTTTAGGTTTTCTTCTTTTTGGTCCTCCCATGTCTAAAAGAAAAAGCGCTGCTACTACTAGGGAAACTGTTCCTACTATGGCTGCATTGTCTACTAGACTTGGAGGAACTGAATCTAATGCAGCAAATGATAAACTACCTGAAAATATTAAAAGAAAACTTTTAGAAAGAAATGATAAAATTAAAGATGTTTTATTTTCTATTTTACTACTACTAACTACTCTTACCTAAAACAATGAATAAAATAGTCCCGATACCAAGTACAATGTACTCAAAGATTCTCGTCGTAGTTGGTATTTCCCCGAAAATATGAGATAAAAATAAGGCGGCAGTGATAATGAGATATCCTCCGTAAGTAGTATCTGCTAGAGCAGCTCCTACCCTACTCCATGTTATGTTGTTTAGTAAATGCCACTCTCTGGATAATTTTTGGAGGTATAAGAACACTCTGGACGATTCATCATCGGTTACTCGTTTGAAAACGACGCAAACTAGAACTAACGCCTAAAATTTGATAAAACTGATTAGGTATTGACAAAGAATTAATAAGAATCTTCAATATAAATAATTTTATCTCTAAACCACACCCTAAATGGCCTAAACAGTACACTGTAAGAAACCTATAGAGACACAAAGAAATTGACATAGAAATGATTCAGAAAAGGATTATATTAAAAATACTCTAGACATTATAGAAATTTTGCTTATAAGAAATGTCTAAAAAGTAAACTTTTTTTATAAAAAAAAAAATCACAAAAGACCATTTAAACAACTTTAGTCAATTGTAAACTATGGTATATTTCACAAAATCAGAATCATGTTAGAAATTACAACCAATGGCTAAAACCTATTCTTTCTACAAATACATTTTTAATGAAAAATTTGTAGTCACACATCACATCACTAACATCTTTTCTTGTAAACAATTAGGTATTTCTGTACTTACTACTTCTACTAGTTTTAAAAGCGTCCATCTGTTGAATTGGGCCATCCTTTTAATTTTTTATAAACATATACGCAGCATTCTTTTCATGCACTGCTTCTGGAATTAATTAGATCTTTAACACTTCCATTTTGTCCTACAAAATAAAAATAATTTCTTATGTAATATAATGTTAAAATAATTATCTAGAACATAATACATAATTGATAAATGGTTAACACAAATAAACAATTATATCTTTGTGGAGTATCAGATAAATTCTTTCTCTAATTAATACATAAAATAATATTAATTTATAAAAAAATAGTAAATAAAAAATAATTGGGTAAATTCTATCCGTCCATTCCATCAGTACGAACGAGGGGAGTTCCTGGAGGACTAATTATAGCCACTTAACATGGTAATGATAAAGAATCCTTCGTTTGTCTAAGGGACACAGCAATCTTTCGCTTTGCTGGCAAGAAGCGACAAAATAAATAGCAGACTGAAAGAATCTCTAAGTCTTCATAGGTATAGTAATTTTGAGGTGAGTACGGATGAGACCAAGGAAAAGAATTAAAACCATGGACCTTGCATCTGGGATAAGGAAACATTTAAACAAGCTTCGGACCTGGTAGTAAACAGATATGGAAGTGGAAGAGTCTATGAAAGTTTAAAAAGACGCACAACATACCAGGGCACTGGCCTATTAAAATTCCTCAAAGTGGTGGAATAGTACAGTTCAAGATTGCCGACGACAGTGCCTTCCAAAAAGAATGGAGTTAACTAGAGGAAGGGCTAGAGGCGTCAATGCAGAATATACCGGTAGATTACAAGAACCTTAGAAAGAGCGACCTGTAAGAAAATGGGTACAAAATAGTGACAAGAAGAATGGAGTTAACTAGAGGAAGGGCTAGAGGCGTCAATGCAGAATATACCGGTAGATTACAAGAACCTTAGAAAGAACGACCTGTAAGGAAATGGGTACAAAATAGTGAAAAACATCTCTGAGAGTCCTATGAGCTGACGGAAACTAACAAATTGAGGATTCTGAAGAATATTTTCTCTTTTATCAGAGATGATTCCTTTCTTAGAAGAATAAGATGCGGCACACCATGAGAAACTGATACTTGCTACCACCAGGCTCAGTACGAGGAAGGCACCGAGTTCAGGTGGAAAACTAGCAGCCGTGGATCAACTCCCGACCCTAATTCTTGGCATGGAAAATGATTCCGATGACTTAAATAAAAGGCCACGTATACTCAGGAGGAGAAGTATGCCCGTCGTAATAGATCAACTCTTTGAAGTCCTGCTTGGAGGGTGCAGAGGGTGGCGGAGAGACAGTTCCTTTGTGATATGGAATTTAGTTTCAAGGAAGGGAAATAGATCGTGCATGCGGTCGAACACGTCTTAAGATTAGCCACTAGCGAAGGTTGGGTTTGGGGAGCTGTTCTTATTATCGACATTAGAAATGCGAGGCGGATAATGGATGTCTTGGTTGACCTAGGCATAGGTCAATACTCAATAAACCTCATAGAAGACTTTTCATAATAGATTGCTTAGAATAGTACAGTAGACTTCGCCAGGGCTTCATCCTTGGTAAAATTCTATGGAAATTGGTTTTCAATGGGGAAATGGAGTTATATCTACCGCACACTTGCAGCACGGTGGCATATTCGGACGATATTGCACCGAAAGGAGGTACTGATGGGTAGGAGGCTGTAGCAGCCATCAGCCACTGGCTTAGCATGCAGTAACTGCTCCCCATAAAATAGAGTGCATTATTCTCAGGGGACTTGCGAACAATCCGCATGGAACATACGGTGATCATACCCAGTATGTGAAATACCTAGGGGTGTAGCTTGACAACAAACTAATATATAATGAAAATGTTGGAAGGACTTGTGACAAAGCCAAAAGACAAGTGACAGCTCTAAATAGACTACTACCGAAGAAAAATATTTTAGCAAAAGTATTGCGTCAGTAGTCCTTTATACAGTATCCATTTGAGAAGGCGTGACTAAAAAGTACGAAATTATCTGGTTCGAATATCTTCTCAAAATATTTTTCTGCGCTCTTGAAAAGATGACGAATCTTCCACCTATAAATTAGTGTAGTGATTTACCAAGGAATGTAATTTAATTCCTTCATCCCTTCTTGGCTCTTATGTATACCAGACGAGCTTTTATTGGGAGTATTTTATTGTTTCCTAATTTAGTGAGGATTTAAAATAATTTCTGCTTAGCCACTGCTCCTTCCTCTAGCCTCTCTGTCATCTTCTGTATAAATGAAAAGAATTACGGAAGACATCATAAAGCAAAAACGGAAGCTTGTGTAAGGCAACTGGTAGAACTAATGCACGCTAATCAGTCCATTTGACTCACAAATACCTAAATTAAACAGGTTCTAAAGAGTGAAGTGTAAAGTGACGAATTTTATGATAGCTCGAATCTTGATTAAGTTCCTCTTCCATAATGAAGCGGTGGCTCTTTGAGTCTAAAGGAAAGTAGCTCTCTTGTTCTGACTTCGGTCATAAGGGACCTTGTAAAAAATCAATATCTCTATAAATATTTTGTTGATGTAATGTTAGTCCAATCAACGAATGGTCCAAAATGAGGTGTACAGTGCCTGAGCAGGTACCTAAGAGATTTGTTCAGAAACTTGTTCAGAGTGATTAAGGAGTAAACATATTAAATATTCTGACATCTAGGAGGTAAGCCAGAGGGGAGAGGGCAAAAAGAAGCTCCTTATTTTGGGTTTCTCATTTATATTTTGAAAACGGTGCGTCTTAGAAAAACATTCATATTAAGTAAAGGCCGATAAAATTATCTACCACTTTTATTCAATACACTTTTTTTTATATCCCAACCGTTCTCAAACTGCATCCTTCGGAAATGTGAAAATTTTCGAAAAAAAGACTTATACCTCACGTTGTTCCACAACAATTTATTCATAGCGTCTAATCTATTCGGCTGAGAAAGAAATTCTCCTTACTACGGACAAAGCTTAAGGAGAATGGGATACAGACTCTCCAGGCCCCCGATGATGCTGACGTCTTTATCGTGAAGATTGCTGTAGAAGCATCCAGTCACAGTTCTGTAGCTGTAATTGGTGAGGATGTGGATCTCGCTGTTCTTTTAATAGCTTCCACTCCTCCCACACAAGACATCCTGCTGCTAAAGCCCGGCCAAGGGAAAACAAAACACTGGCACTGTCCTCCCAAGAGACGCACCAGCATGCATTTGAACACATTCTGTTCTTACATTCATTTACCGGCTGCTACACACTCTTAGGAGAAACAAAGTGGGCTTTTCTAAATTGTACTTGAAGTCAGAAATTATCATGGAAGCGGCAATGATCTTTTATAAACCCTTCTCCACTCACGGCGAGGTTGAAAAGGCTGGGATGGTGTGTTTCCTTAAATGGTATGGGGCACCCGCAAGATAGGTCTCCCGTAACCGGTACCTCTTCCATTCGTTGATAAGGTCAGTGATAAAAATTGAGTGCGCAACTAAACAGCATTCCCAGCGCATTTACCACCAAGTGCAGAAATGGCTCCGAAATTAGCTCGAGAGTGGGGGTTAAAACATGTAGAAGAGGCTCTAGTGTCAATTACAACAGAAGACCCACCAGTACCGGAGGTCCCACTTAAAACGATATTTTGTCGCTGCACCAAGGATTGTGGTGGTGGAAAATGTGAATGCCGGAAAGCAATGTTGAACTGTGCTGCGACGTGTCTCCATCGTCAAGGAAAATGCCTTAATGACATGCTTGTTGTCGAGGACGACGATGAAGACCAGCAAGAATTACATACCACTGAATATGAGGTTAATATGGACAAAGAACCCTTGCCAGGACCCTCACTGCCAAAGAAGATAAAAACGTGAATTTAGAGAAAGTTGAGAGTTTAAAATTAAAAAATTATTGAAATAAAATGAAATTAATGATCTTATATGTGCCTTCTTTTAATTCAATGCTCATTCGAGTACATAGTTTAGACGATAGATGATTGTGCTATTGGGACTGTATTTTTGTTTGTTAGATATCTGGAGCCTCGAACTTTCCTTTGTTACGATCAAGTACATAATTAGGATGAACTTTTTCGATGTTCTTTACATGACGAGATCTATTTTGTCAGTGTGTAAATATTTTATTTTATAAGACTAACAGGAGCTGTGTATAATTATGGGGACCCAAGGTAACTTTTAGTTAAACCATTTTTTTTATAAGACACAAATTTACCGTAATTTCTTCTCATGAGCACTAATTCTCCATTATAAATATTCTTTCAAAGGTTCAAGCGTTCACTCGTAAGGGGGTGAAATATAAGGAAAGTAAGTATATCTATGACATCTTCTCTTACAAACGTCTAAGAAGATCATCGGATACAAAAGACAACACAATAGAATTGACTTTATAGATCTCACTGTTATGAATAAGAAGTTTCCGAAACGTTTCGTTTTATATTTCTCTGTATATTTATAAAAAAAGAGAAAGTGGGCTTAAAAAACGATGGTTGGAGTGTATCGACCTAAAATTTTGTATCAAAAAAGTAAAATAAGTATTGATAATTATTTCTGTACTATAAATAAATAATTTAAATTTAAAAGTTTTATTTTTAAACTAATTACATAATTTATAGTCAACTGATGACAAATAAATTGGCCACATTTAGATACATATCCGTAGTAATCTATAACCTTATAAGAAACAAATGATTAATAAAAACGAAGGCCTAATAACTAACTTTATTAATTCTTGATAACAGAGGTTAAAAAAATTAAAAAGTTTTTTTCCTTTTATTAAACTGGCAGTATCTATAAAACACGCACGATTTTAGAATATAAAGAAGATAAATTGACTAATTTCGACGCCTAAATTTTTTAATCGCTCGTTATCATTAAAAAAAATTATGCATGGTACCTACAAGCTACTTAAAAAAGTAAGCTCTTATCAAGTGCAGTAAGGAGGACAAAATAAAATAAAATAATTTAATCATGAAACCTAATTTAATGTTTATGTTTGTTATTTTACGAATAATCAGTGAGCAATAAGTACCTACACACCATAAATATTTAAATCAATGGCAGACCTCGCATGAATTAACAGATAAACCTTCCTAAAAATAAGTTCTTGTTGCTGAGGAAAAATCAGTGTGCCTATGCATATAGTAAAAATTTAAAAAATATTCTTTCTTTTTTGCTAAAATATCCACGAATAGCAAAAATCAAGTTTGCGTTATTGACTTTTATAGTTTTATATACTGTTGAATGATTTCCTAATTTCCCTCTGATTTTTTTTACTGATTGTAAAATTGTGGCACCCTTTATATTTAAATAAAAACATCTGCAAGAGCGATAGCGTGTGTTTTTTGAGTTTTTAATATCTATGCCTTAGTTCTTGTATGCCAATCCTCTAAAATATTTACCTCGAGTAACATTTTTTTTTATGGTTATACAGTGTTTTTCGAAGTTCAATTTGTTTTCTTTTATTTTTATTATTATTAGACCAAAACATTTGATATTGTAACTGCTAATCAATCATCTTTAATGATAGGATTGATTAAGATTTTTTGACACTTTTTGGGATTGGTATTAGCCTCCATTATTTGAAACATTTTGAAACAAGATTTTCCATATACGTTCACTGCACTGACTAATACTATGATTATATATGATATACAATTCTACAGAAGACCATGTGAACTTTTAATTGATTTGCATGGTTCTCCATAGGATTTGATGAATGCAGTATTAGCAGAAATTTAATTTCTGTTGATATGACATCCAGATTTTAAAATTCGCCATGCGTTACCGTTTTGATGATGGTGGGTGGGGTTTTCTTCACCTGTAAGTCAAATGGCACCATCAATCATCTTTAAGTCGACCGGAGCGCAAATACAACAATAATAACCGTCGTTTCCTGGACAAGGTCAGATTTTGGGGTTAAAATTCACTCGTAAGGGGGTAAATTAGGGAGAGTATTATTATATTATTATTATACAACTACTGCAGCATCATCGGCATGGTGGAGAAGGTAGCAATCTTTCCTATAGGTATTTTTTGTGATATCATAAGATATTGAAAAGAAATGGTAAAAGTGGTATATCTTGAAGGACTTGTTGGAAATAGTAAATGGTTCGGTTAACACAGTATTAGTTTTAATTTTGTTTTTTCTTCAGTTCTGAACATTGTCGAGGAACCAGATGTGTGGTATATATTTATTTTGGGTAAAGAATTATTACTATAATAACTTAAACAGGCTGTAATTTTTTTAAAGTACATATACCGCCATTCGATAATTATTCATTTTTCGAAAAAGTACTAAGAAGAAAACGTTTTAAAATGACCCAACCAATGATGGCACAATAATCACCAGTTCCTTAGTAATACAAAAGTTTGAAGTTTGAGGGTACTAGGGGACCACAACCGCTATACCATTTTTATGGAGTGCTTTGACTTTAAGAAAACCACATGTCAATTTTTATGATAAATGTTTTAACAGTTTCCTAGTTATTTGAAAATATCTAGTTAAATGAAAAGCGTATTTTAAAATTTTTAAATATGCAAAGTTACAGAATATCTCAGTGTATTTCCAGATTAAAATTAAAAAATTAGTCAACAGCTTACGGCAATCATAGAGCTAGCGGTTGCAAGGTAGTACGATCGTATCTCCGGATGAAAATTTTGAAAGATTGCTGACTATCATGTTTGGATGATATTGAAGTCTGTCATAGTATTTGGAGCTTGAAGAACTAATTTTCTCTGTTATGGTACGTAAAGTACTTGATATTGTTGAGGATGTGCCAAGGAGCATTGCAAAGTTGTCTTAGTACTTTTGATTGAAAGCGTTGTATTTTTTGCAGGTTTGAATCATCGACATTTCCCCAAATTTGGAATCCGTACGTCCAAATCGGCTTCAAGACTCACTTGTAGATGAGTAGTTTATTGATAAAGATAAGACGTAAGTTGTTATTCATGAATCAATCACGTACTTTGATTAGTATACGGTGCAAGAGAGAGGTCCGACACGCCCAACATAGGCCGCGGCCATTTTGATGCCTTTACCACAGTTTATAGTTCGCTCACTCTGAGTCGGCACTTTTGATCTCAATGTTCCAGTTAATACACTGCGCAACTCGGATGATACAATATATGACAACCGCCTATAATAAAACAGCAGTCTTCTGCGCATCCTGAATTTGTATCCCTGGAGTGGATGATATTTTGGTCCGAATGAGCTAACTGATTCTTAAGCAATAAACTGTGACTCCAAAAATAATATTCACTGACACTGACAGCAGCAAGCAAAATATTAAAAATAATGCGCCAAGATATAGGCAACACGTAATAAGGCATCAAAATGGCGGAGTTTTCTATCTCCTTTTAAAAGGCACTCAGAAAGCTGCGCAGTGCGACCATTCTCCGTATAGTAAGAGTATGTGGAATCAATACATTTTTCTTCTGTTCTAGTCTTTCGTTCTATATATTCTTTAATTTGAATGTAATGTGTACCGACTTGGTACTGTTAATTTTGACTTTCCATAGTTTAAATAATATTTTGAGTCTACGCAGACGATTGTGTAGTGTCTGGCTGGCCATTATGATAGTATGGTCATCGAAAAATGCAATTGTATTATCTAAAGTTGATATGTGTGCTGGATATAAGTAGGATTTATAGTGCGGATTCAAGGATACTTCCTTGAGGTACCTTAGAATGGCTAGGGGACTCCTCTATTTTTGTTTGAAAGAATCTACAAGTCAAATATGATTTTCGAAGCATATAGGCTGAGGCATTTGTCAAGTTTTACCATTGGGACTATTATGCCAAACTTTATCAACAACTTGGGAGACGTCGAGAAAAGCTGCTGTGCTTGTTTTCGTGTTAATTTCTTGTAATTTTGACAACGCTGTGAACCTGTCCGAAAGTACCGCCGAAAGCCTAATTTGATAATCAGGTAATAGGTTGTTTTCAGATACAACCATATCTATTCTTGTTGGGAGGATACTTTAAATACCTCAGAGAGGAGGTTTATTGGACGATGGGATGAAGATTGTGTATTTTTTTTGTCATTAAAATTGTTTGAGCTAACAAGTTGAATATGAAAAAGCTTTCGGCCAAATGTATTGCAAGATGCCAGAATCTTGATCAGAAGCACTTTCGGTTAACAAAGTAAAAGGAAATCTGTCGTCGTTTTGAAGACAATTCCTCAAACTTTTTGAATCGTTTTGTTACTGTGTACGAAACTACGACCAAAAAATTCCGCGTTCAAAATTCAGCTGACACTGTTTTGGCTACAATTTTCTGTCATCAACATGGGTTTATTCTTATAGATTATTTGGAAGAGGTCGAAACTATCTCTGCAGCATATTTTATTGAGCTGCTAATTAAATTAAACGAGAATATTGTGGAAAAGCGCCGCGAAAAACTAGCTTAAAGTTGATCTGTTTTTGCAAAACCAATGGTCCTGCTTACAAGTCGCTAATTGCTATGAAAAAATTTACTTTGCACCTACAACATATTTACTAGTATTTTCGCGCAGAATATAGACTTCTCACTCATGGAAAATTTTCAGAAATTTAAACAAGTTCTTTCCAACTCGTAAATTTATCTTAATGGCTCTAACATGAGCATAGGTAAAATAAATCGTTAAAAAATATTAAATAGTTGTAGTATACACGCTACCTCTATCTGCATTAATCTGATATAACTATCTCGCCACTCTCTTAATAACCAATCACAAAACAGTATGCAAATTCATGATTTGTTTCCTCGACCAATCACAACAATAACACACAGCTGCTAATCTATCCACACCACACTCGACTGACAATCGAAGAGACCTGGGTAGTCAATGCTACGAAGAACTGCGATGGGATAAGACGGG